CCCCCCCCCCCCCCCCCCCTTCTACCCCGCTTGCAAAGCATCTTGCAACCCTTGTCGGCACTTCCCCTTCCAAACCTCCTGTGAATAAGGCATCTTGTGACCCACATCGATTCCTATCCCTTGCATGCCCCAGAATGTTGTCAGCCTGCTTCAACGGCCCCATCCACAAGCCCCTTCCCATGAAAAGCATCCTGGAACTCGCATCGAAACTTTCCCTTAACCCCTTCAGCCCCGCTGTAGCACTTACCCTCTCCAAACTCATATCGGTGCAAGACATCCTGCACTGCCCCTCAATATTCTCCCTCCACTTCTTCTCCACATGTAATGTACCTTGCAAACCCCTTCAACACTGCTAAACTTCTGTGCAAAGCACCTTGTGCTTTAAGCTCGGCATTCTCCTCTTCCCACTCTTGCATCCAAAGCATCTACCAACTCCCACCGCCACTCCCCCTTCATCCTTGCCACATGCAAAGCGGCACCCTCAATGTTTTCCCTCCCGCCCCAGTTGTGCACAAAGCATCTTGCCAACCCCTTCAAAGTTTTGAGCAGTCCCACTGCAAGGAAGGGACTGAAATATTTGAGCATCTTTCTTGCAGTGGGACTGATGCTCAAATATTTCAGTCCCTTCCTTGCATCTTGCCAACCCCTTCAAAGTTTTGAGCACGTGCTTTAAATATTTCACGAACTTGAGAAAGATGCAAGGAAGATGAGCAATAGCGAACTTCAGCAACCAAACAGCATCATACATATGAGTCCAGATAGTCTTGACCTCGAACCAACAGCAGAATTGTTCCACGAGATTCATAATTGACAACGCAGAAATAGTCCCATCATCATCAAGGAAGAACCAGAGTTGATATCCTATCTGGCGCTCGGCGCCCAGACTACATGTGGCAGATCCTATCTAGCCTATACTACGAAGCCGAAAGATGACGTCAACAGCATTCCCGAAGTACGAGCATATGGCGACCAATGTCGCACGCTTCCAGCACCAGGTATGTCTCGCGCTACACTCACAACCTCGTTCCCCAACTCACAGATGCCACTAGCACCCAAGGACCACCCTGCGCCTCACCCAGCTTACAGCAGCGCAGCTCGGCTATGGCTGCGTGCTCCTTCCCTGCTCGCCCGTGAGAGCGTAGGCGCCAGCCAGCAAATAGCGCTGCAGCAGCACTTGTGCAGCATGCAGCCAGCACCCGAATGCCAAATGAGGAGGCAGGCCCTTTCCTATATCGAAGTGGCCTGCCTGCGTCCAGTCCCTTCCAGTAGGCCCCGGTAGCCTGAGGCCCAGCACGACGAGAGCAGGCCTTGGGCCTGAAGTGGTTGCATGCGCCCAACTGCCTTCGGCCTGTGTTTGGCCCGGTACCCGTATCCAGCCCAGGGCCTGCTTCACATACATTCACACAGGCGGCCCAGGGCCTGGGTTCACTCAACCAACTGGCGCTGCGCAACTGCCTGAATTTTCCCCGAGTTGCGTGGTGGCCAGAAAAGGGCCCTGAGGGCCTCGTCGAGCCTGCCTTCACTTTTTTTTTTTTT